AGATTCCATGAAGAAACTTCAGCATTTGTCTGTCATACTTACATCACCAACGTTTTATATCAGCGACGAAAGTACAATGCCTCGGTCAAAGGTATATCTCGCGCTCGAAAGATTACATCACCTCAGCATTTTTATCGTTGCAGCTCTTCGCATTGAAGCGCAATTAAACTTATATCAAACCACCATCAAACAGCTATCAGATTGATATTTAACAGCTATAAACAGTTATCAAGCCGCTATCAAATGGCTATCAAACCGCTATCAAACGGCTATCAAACCGCTATCGAACTGATATCGAACGGCTATCGGTCTACTATAAACAGCTACCAGACTGATATTTAACATCTATAAACAGCTATCAGACTGATATCGAACCGCTATCGGTTCATTTCAACACCTATCTGTTATATTTATTTTAAATATCTACAGGTTAGGGTGGCGAAAATAAAAACATATTAATGCAAAATAACATAGATTTTATTTAAAAATCTTACAATTCTCCCTGATGTCGCGACCACTAGTTAAATATCTTAAATACATTTTATAAAGCGCAATTCTTTGCGTGTTTTCCGCATCGTAAAGTGTTACAATCATCTAGATTACGCAGCGATTCTACATCTTCGTAATGCGCGTCCAGGGTTTCGACGATGATATCATCAGTGTCGAGTATATCAGCTAACCATCCTCGTTTTTCGTGTCCCTTGACATATATGACAGCTTTATCCTCTTCTAACACAGCTTCCGTAATTAAACGTCTCGCCATGCTGTAAGGGACCATCCCGTCATCCCACCGCAATTCATAGTGATAAGTACTCAACCAGGAAGCGCAAAATTGTCGAATCTCGTTAGAAAATGCCATGGCATATGATGTGAAAAAAATATAGTGTGTGAGAATGGTTCCCCCTCTCAGCACCTCTACTTCTTTCACGATAAATTTCTTGTTAACGATGAATCCTTGTAGATCCACAAACATTGGTATGACCATGACGAGCAATTTTTCGAGACTGTACCTCACCCTGGATTTCCATTCTTTTATATTCGGGATACTTGCTGACGTTGCAATTTACATGATTTTGCTCACTACGTTGGACAACGGATAATATTCAATTACACGATCGTGTATGATGAGACAATAGGCGGTAGTATTGGCGGGCACATTCTCCTTGCAGTTAAATTCTATGCGTACATCCACAGTGGCGCTCTTGACGGATTTGTTTTGTCGCGAGCAATCAATGAC